TAAAAAAGCAAAAAGCAAAAACCAACACCCTGCCATCTCTTAAATTAACATTTCTGGTTTCCTTTAACAATTATAAGAAATTGATATCCAGTGCCAATTTATATAGAAAACACACTTAAACGAAAGTAAAATTTTCTTTTAATTTCACTTAATTTTTCCAGAGAATTTTGAAGGTATCCACCATTTAATAGGACATATGTAAAAAGAAGCACAAAAACATAAGAGAAAATTGCTGTGACTACTGTGTTTGGATAAAGGACATGATGGATTCTCTAAGATCTTTGCCAGTTCTTAGTATGGTTTGCTACTCATCAGGTTGAATTTCTGAAAGATTCTGAAAATCCCTTTAATCACTTAAAAGCTAAAGGTTGATTAGTTCATCTACAGGAACAAAGACGTTGTACAGGTGAGGAGAGGTGGCATGAGGAAGCGGAAATAATATTAGAGAGATTCAAAACTGTGAACTCCATACCTGTTTTAAACACAATTAGTTGTGATTTGAATGAATCTCTCTCCCTCAGGAACCACTTTTATTTCATGTGCCTGTCATCCTGTGTTCTGGGCTACACTTAGCAAGTACACCTAGACCATAATAATGGACACAGTACTTTTCAGACTCAAGTCTTTATATTATTGCAGGACACTATTTGGAGGTGTACAGAAGTGACTCATGCTCTTGAATTTGGCAACCTTAATTTTCTGTGATTTATATTTTCTCCTTTATCTTATTTAATTCCTCTCTGGAGCCTGTAGCTAAGGTGTCCCAAATAAGACATGCATACCTTCCCTTGTCACCAAGGCAGTAATTCAGGTTCCTGCTAAGCACTGGGTGACTTCTGTGCAGGCCTTGGGTTACTAAAGTGTAGCAGTTCCCCTTTTGGGTTACCTTCTGTCACTTAGTGAAGTGGTCTCCGGAACTGCTCAGCTCATAGAAAGATCAGTGACCTTGGGATTTGACATATGCTTCCTATAGCCTCCACCCTACCAGGAATTCTCTTTCAAGTGTGGCTGAGAAAAGAGAGGAGGAAGTAAAGAAAGAGGAAGAGACTATAAGCATATAGTTATGAAATGATGTAAGACAGCCAGGAGCCACATACTCAGAGTAAGCTGTCTTCGTGGCTATTCTCTTCATTTAGGTTTGTAGTATGACACCAAAGTCTAAAGAGAGACACTGCCCAGAGACAAAACTAGTAATTTACCAAAGAATCACCCCACTTGAACATTTCCACAAACTCAAAGCATTCCAGAACACAGTCATCCTTGCTATGTTTATTGCATTTAAAGTGTCTGGGCTATACACCAAATAAAGTGGTTCTCTGAATCACTCCATTAGAGAATTGGGCCTTTGGATTCTGTGTTTCTTCAGTCTTCTACAAAAGTGCTAAGAATCCTGGGCTACATCTGAAATGATTTGTTTCCATTAACTGGCTGATAAAAAGCCAATGTAAAATTGGGCCAGAGTTTAAAGCCTTAGAAGAGAAAGATAGAGATTAAGAAATTCACTGTTTTGGGTTTCTCTCATCATGCAAATCATGTATGCATTCTTTATTTTTGCAAAAACCTTCATTGAGAGCATTCAGTCTGTGAAAGATTCTGAAATCCCTTTAATCTCTTAAAAGCTGAAGTTTGACTACATCATCTACAGAAATTAAACTGTATTTCTCACAAAGACATGTTTATGTCCTAATGTCCAGTGTCTCGCAGTGTTAAGATGGGGTCAGTCTAGAATAAGGGGGACCATTAATCTAATATCATCTGTGCCCTGAAAAGACGGCCATGTGACAACACCAAGACCCCCAAGAATACCTTGTGAAGATGGGAGATTAAAGGAACAGCAAGGCTTGCTGGAAAAGCACCCAAAGCTTGGAAGAGACTAGGGGTGATTCTTTTATAGGTTCTGAAGGATACTTTGATTCCAGAATTCTAGCTTCCAGAATTGAGAGACATCAGACTTTTGCTGTTTGAGTTATTCAGTTTGTGCAATTTTGTTATGGTGGCCCTGGGAAACTACACAAGAATGTATGAACCAAAATCAATTAGGATGCATCTACTTTGAAGGAAATTCCAGAAAGCACACTTGAGAAATGGGTGGAGGTAGGGGTTTACATTGGAAGGGTTTTATAAAACTCTATCTTCTTTTTGTCTGTCTCTCTATTTACCTAACCATACTGTAAAGTAAATGAAAATGATTGAACAGAAAAGTGAAATGCTGTAAGGATGACATCGGCAAGGTTTCCTCTGTCTTCTTCCTTTAGGAGTCATGAGATGATAAATTTTGAAATTGAAAACATGGTTTTTGTTTACAACAAAAAAGAAATAGTGATTACTAGAAATCCAGGAGTTTACTAAGAGAAGGATCAGTTTGGGTCAACTTAACATTTTTAACAGGGGAGTCAGATTGATGATAAAACATACCAGACTATGTGTAGTAGGAATTCGCTGACATACCTGTAGCTTTTTTTTTTTTTTTTATAACATCTATGGACAAGATGGAATGAATGGTTGCACTGGGGAATTGAGTGAACAGTCTTACCTATATACAGAACACTAGTTAATGGAGTTCTGCCAATCTCAGTAGATGTTACCAGTGGAATTCCCAGGGTTTCTTTATAAATGCTGCCACGCCAGCACCTTTATCCATAACCTGGACTAATGAAGCATTACCAAATTTGTCTTTGATGGCCCAGATGACCTCATCAACATCTAGATGTATGTCTTGGTTCTGGATGGAACCACAAGGGAAAGTCAGAGGATGTATTGAAGAAAGCTGCCTGGTAACAGGAAGGATGAGAGCAATTGTATAATAAAAGAAACTGGTGAGGTATGTGGGGATAATCAGACTTAACAAAGGAGGCCCCAACAGAGACATGACAATGGAGAGATAGTGTATCTTACCTGTTGTAATCTCAGTTTGATATGGGAGATGCTTTCAGAATGCTAGAGTTGTTTTTTTTTTTTTAAACACTAACAATAAAAATTTATGGTTTATGATGAAGATGCCACTCATCTCAATGACTATATGGAGGAACTGCTTGAGGAATTGTTGAGGAAACCTATGTTCTCTATAGGGAAAAATCCAGATGGAAAACTTGCACAATATATATAGATGGGTATAATTGGGTTAAAGAACTACACGTGAAGGATAAACTCTAAAATAAATTAAAAAATATATAGAAATTTGTATTTTTGATTTTGGAGTAGGAAGGATATAAACTACCGGCCCTCCCTGGTGGTACAGCGGGTTAAAGCACAGCACTAAGACGCTAAAGCCACTTCAGCATGAGTTCAATTCCTGCCTGCCCCAGAGGTGACCACATGGCGTGGCAGACCTCTCCTGACCCGCCCGCTGCTCCCCTCAGCAGTGTACTTCGTTGATCTGCCTGTTCTGCTCCCCACTCTGTCTCTGGTGAAGCCTCTCGCAGCCCCTAGCCTCTGGCCTGTACCCCAGTTCTGTATGTACAAATAAATAAATCTTTAAAAAAAATTAATGACTACCAAAACACAATATATAAGGGGAAAATTACTCAATTATCTATTTCAAAATTAAAGATTTTTGAGTGATACAAAGTTACTGGATTACTGAGAGATTGAGAAAAGTCATTTCCAATGTCAACACCATGGAGGTTAATTTTTAGACAATACCTAGATAAGTGAATATCTAGGATATTCAAAGAAATTCCAAAAAGAGAAAGATTATTTGGAAAATTGTCTGACTAAGATGGACCCTTCATTTCCACATTCAATCAATCAATACATCAGTCTACGTTCTCCCCAATATGTAACAAGAAAATAAAATTAGTTTCAACTAAGTGGATTTTCTCACAAATTACAATGAACGATAGTGGAAGAATATTAGGACTTTGGTGGCAGTTGTGGCGTGGTAAGATACATGTCCTATGTCCCCAACTCATACACAGTTTTGTTAACCACTGTTACCTCAATAAAAATAACATGAAAATGGCATTCTTATAATTTTTAAAGTTGAAAGAATTTTTAGGGTGTCTTCTAAATCCATGCTTTCACTGCATTTTCCAGGTGCACAAAGATTGAATTGGCACACATCTGATACTCTATCCCTGTTTAGATTGCAAAGTACATCGCTTAGCTGGATCCAGAATGCCTAAGACCAAGCCATGGCTCATCTACCGCCTGTGCATGGCACTTGGGAATCTCTCTGTGTTTCAGTTTCTTCATCAGCAAAGTGGCATGTGTGGTAAGACTTCTAAATTTGGTATGAGGAATCAATGAGATAATCGGAAACAGAACAGCATCTGGCACATAATAAAACACAACAATGGCAATTTTCACTTCAATATCTTGACTAGGACATATGACATTATGATATATAAAGCTTATTTTCCCCCATACTCTATTTCAAAACGAGTATAGTAACATTCTGAATTATTAACTAGTTTTTTTTCTTTAAGTAACAATCAGTAAAGGAAGTTACAGATATACCTTAGTGGTGTATGAGGTGTGTCTCATGGATTAACCATTAATCCTGGGTGGCCAGCCTCGAAGGGATTTGAAAGCTTATTTTGCTAGTCCAGACCCTTCATGACACAGGAGGACTCAAAAAGTTTGGAGAAGGTAAAGTGTTCTGCACTGAATCTGCATCTGCCCTGGCTTGCGCTTGCCCAGCTAGAACTGCGGCACTGTTTATGTGGTTTGGATTCACTGGCTATGATCCAGAACATATTATGATAATTAGGAAATCAAGATTGTGATTACAGATTAATATTATCTGTCAGCCATGTAAAGTGCATGTGAACTGGCAATAAGAATATTCTCACTTGAGACTGGGAGGATCCTTGGTTAGTTTAAATATGAAGAACTTGCCAGACTTCACTTGACTGTCCTTCTTTGGTTTAGTAGGTGGAGCCAGGCTTCCTCATTGGTTAAGCCGGTTCAACCCAATTATAAGTGCAAAAAATATATGCTCTCTGTCATTTAGGGCTGCAGAGCGTGGGACTGTTTGGAGGGACGAGAAGTGTCAGAACATGAGTTCCAAGACAAAATCCATAGGGGTCATTGGAGCACCTTTCTCAAAAGGGCAGGTGAGTAAAAAGAGCTGGCTAGAACTGAATCTGAGAAGGTTTTGGCCTTTAAAGCTTAGTAAGGTGTTAATGTCTGGTTAGTAGCATTCCATGATAAACTCCAGTTCTGAAATATGTATGCTTAAATCCGCTCACTATTTTGCAACATGAGATAATTATGGCAAACCCACCAATCTTGTGATGCTCAATCTTAGCCCTAGCTTTACTTGAATCTATTAATTTCTTCTTTATATATTTTTAAGAGAATGTAGTTTTATTTACATGGAAATGAACAACATTTGCAATGCAGTTACTGGATTTCGATGTTCATGTTTGGATTGCTTTTGTTATGGCTGTGTATATGTAGAAAAAGAATTTTAGCACATTTGTTTCGTTAAGCATTTAATGCCTAGGAATGCTTCATAGGTTGACAGCAACATTCAGGATCATTTCAGACTGGAAAACCTAAACGTTATTGTTTTATAGAACATTGGGAATGATTCCTATTATATAAGGAATCTAATAATTCTGTAGAAGTCTTCATCTGGGCTAGATATTACCCTTTGTGTACCTCTTTCTGAGGGAGAAAAAAGAAAAATGAACGAGACTGATTACAAGTTAGCAGCACTGAAAGAACTAATGGATTTTTGAAATCCCAGATTGCCAAAACTTGCCACAACAGCAACAACATTTAAATATAGGGGTTGTTTTTTGGCCTGGACACACTGTGATTATACATGCCTTAGATTTCCATGTGTTTTTGCTTAGAGAGGGTAGAGAGAAAGAACAAAAATGAAAACAAAGGGGTGTGATTGAAACTCTGAAAGTTAATTTTTTGGTCATTGTTTTTTTACATGGCAAGTTCTCCAGCTTTCTTATAATTCTCTGACTACCTGGAGAGCACTTTTTTTAGTTTGGCACTTTCGCTGTGCACTCTGGCTTTTCTTTGCAAAACAAACTGGAAAAAGTCAGAGGTTAGAAACCTGACCCGCATTTGTACTGTCAGTAATTACTGCTTCACTTACCCCAGAAATCCTTCAAGTATCTCTCCTCAAACCCAGGGACATTTCACTATCAGAAAGGTGCTTCTTTTAATCTTAGGGTTAATTGCAAAATCCACAGTATCTCACCTATTCTTGGGATAGGTTGTCACAAACAGCTGAAATAACTGACTCCCTGAGTTCTCCCCCACCCCCCAAAATAACAACAGAAGGGAGAGGGAAAGGAAGGAGGCAGGCAGAGGCAGACAGAAAGGGAAAGGCCTAAGTTTGCTATGGCCCCTGTATCTCTGCAGAATTTATGCTGATAAAACAGGCCTTTGAGAGGAGAATATTTTGAAGTAAAGCATGATTCATTTTTTGTTCTCAGTATTTCTTATTGTTTCACATGCAATCCATCCTCCATTAAAACATGGTCCCATGAGGTAAACCATAGTGTTTGTGGTCAGGGGGAAGCCAACATATAAACATCTGTTTCCACTTCAAAGAAGAATTTGACAAACAGACAAACGAGATTAGTGAATAGAGCACAGGCTGGGTTTGAGGGGGACTCCACCCCCTTGCAAGGCAGCTGGAGTGGACAGTGGCAAAGAATGAGGTAGGGAATACACATATTTAACTAGGGCGAGAGAGATTTGGTGATTGGCTCTAGGGCGCACAGCCTTGACTGATTCCAGACAGAACTGTCTGATCCCAAATCATGCGCACCTGACCTACGCTGATGATTTTTAAGAACCTCAAGCTTTACACTGGAGGCCAGTCAGGGGTTGAGACCCAAGTTCAAATTCAGTCGTGCTAACAAAATGATTTCCAAAGTGAGCAGCAAGACAAGCAGTGAGAAAACAACTTGAGAGGCAGGTTCAATCAAATGCAAAAGAAGACTAGCACATGTCACCCTGTAAACTCAACAAACATGTTAGAGCAAACACTGCACCAACTAAGCCTAAAAGATTTGCTTTAAAATTTGAAAGAGATGGAAAAAAAACCAGGGAGTTTTAGCAAATTGCCAATTACTGAAACCCTGTTGTCAATACACTACACACTGCAAAATACAGTGCCTACATGGAGGAATGTTAGACCAAGTTCTAAGGATGGAGACGAATAAAATCGATGGCAAAATACGAGCCAAGCAGCATCCTGTTGGGTTTTAGTGAAAGAAGAATTAGAGCTA